GCAGGGAGTTCCAGGCACACAAGGCGATACTTGCTGGTGAGTTTGTGTTTTATTCTTTAGTTATTTCCTAGAGATTTTTTTCTTCTTCAAGGAGTATGTGGCATATGTCCGATGTGAGTTAGGAGATGAGAGGGAGTAGATTAACGCCTTTGAGAACGTGGGGAGGAAGTAGATGTAGAGTTACCCTTCTTTTTTTCTTTTTATTACGCTGGGATAAGTCCGATTTTCGCAAGTGTCAGTTCACCATTGGCTCCGCCCGTTTTCCAGCTCGCTCGCCAGTGTTCGCAGCAATGTTCGCTCACGAGATGGAGGAGAGAAAACACAACAGAGTAGAAATTCAAGATGTGGACCATGAGGTGTTACGCGAGATGCTGCGCTTCATTTACACAGGAAAAGCTACCAATTTAGAGAAAATGGCTGATGATCTCTTGGCTGCAGCAGATAAGGTAAAGTTGTCGTTTGGGTTTTCCAGATGGATTAGTCTCTACAATTCCAAATAATAAACAAATAATACCTGAGTGCCATTTTTGCGTATCTTTTCCTGGGCCGGACCCTACTCGCCCTGTCAAGTGTGGTGTAAGCAGTTAACTTAAATTTAGAATTCTTATCATAGTGTAATTAGAAGTTAATTAGGGTTGGTTATAGTAGCTGCAACATATTCCGAAGCAGCCGAGTTAACAGCCTTTCCTATTTTGCAGTATGCATTGGAGCGACTTAAAGTGATGTGCGAGGAAGCATTATGTACCAACTTAAGTATAGAAAATGCTGCTGATGTCCTCATTCTTGCTGATCTCCATTCTGCTGATCAACTGAAGGCTCAAGCGATCGAATTTATCAATACGTAAGTAGAGCGAATAATTATGAATTCCTTTGTCTCATAAATTGCATTTTTCATGACTGTTTTGATTAATATTTCATGCTGGATCTTCTTTGTGTGTTTATGCATGCTAGTAATAGCTTTGGAGGATATTTTTGTATTGTTGGATGTACTCTGTTTGAAGAAATACAAATTTGAAATACAGTCTATTAAATCATTAAAGTTCTATTTGAAGAAATGCAAATTTGGTAGTACTTTGAAGTACAATCTATTAAATCATGAGTTCTATGATCTGAGGTTGATACTGATGTGTTTCTATCTTTCCAGGCATGCAACAGATGTCATGGAGACACAAGGTTGGAAATCCATGATTCAGTCTCATCCACATTTGATTGCCGAAGCCTTTCGAGCATTGGCTACTCAGCAGATCCCACCCATTGGACCTCCACGCAAAAGGATTAAAGCCAGTCCCTGAACCCGGTTGGCCAGTCTGCCAGCTTCACTTACGCTGGCCAGGCCATCACCCCCAACACCCCTGGCCTCCCCACCTGGTCACCCCCTCACACTCGGCCTAACTCAGTGGGTTCTTTTACCATACTATTCAGGACAGCGGAGAGAATGCAATTTGGAAAGAAGTATGGAGGATTGGAGGGCATCTGTAGGCCATCCTACAGTGGAGAGTGACCAAGGCCATAAGAAGCCAGTGTGTGGTAGTGGGACCTGGCAGGGGATAGGGACCAGGCCTCTCATCCCACCAGTCAACAGAGTACAATCAGGGGACGACAAGTCCCTGCCCACTCAGGTTGGTAGGGCTGCAGTCCCTTCCTCTACTGCGCCCAACTCCTTCTGCCCCGTGACAAGTCCACCAAATGATCTCAGTGGGGCCTGACCTGCATGTAAAACCTGTCAGTGCATAAGACACTACAGTATGCAGATGTGCAGGTGCCAGACTCAGCAATGCATGTGTGTCTGTGTGTAGATATCTGTGATGTAGCAAGTGATAGCCCAGAACATTAGACTCCCGCTATGAGTCTTAGAGCTACCACGCATTACTCTGCTAATTATTGTTGTTGTTGTTAAGTGTGGCACTCTCTTGTCTTTCAAGCCATCAAGCCAGGCAGATATTTGAAAATATTGGCAGGCCCTTCAGGGAGAAAAAAAAGGAGCCTTGCATTTGACTGAGACCAAAGGAAAACTGGGAAGGACCAAGTGATGTGTGAGCATTGCTTCCTCTCAGTGCACTGTGCTTTTGGCTAGTTAACATATTCTACTCCTGTGACATAGATGATTCTTCATTACCCAATATTTTTGTTTTATTTTACAGGAGAAACAAACATTATAGAAGTCTTGGAAGCATCTTTTTCTATGAAAAATCTGCAATGTACAACTTAAAAATTAGATTGAGCTTTCTTAGGTAGATGCAGTAGGCAAGGTGTACTCTGATTTTGAGAATTTGTTAAGACAAGACAACATTGTAGAGTGTACAGTTAATGTAGAAGATACTGTCTAATTCCACCGATTTCAGCTTTGGCTGATTTGTATTTACAATGTATGTATGTAACATCATGAAGCTTCACAGGGTATTCTCAGTCATTAACATGGAGCCGTGATCAGGAAAGTGTAATTAGTGTAACTGTTTCAAATGAATGTTGTGTAAAAGTAGAAATGAATGATTAAAATATT